AAAAATCTAGTTTAATTGCTTTTAGTATTGTTTGAATGGTTTGTTTATCATTTTCTTCATTAACTTGTTTGTCTAAAGTAGTATGATAAGCAACTCCAATTATAACGATGCTGTTTTTAATTCTTTTTTTGTTATTAAATTCATTTTTAATTTTTGTGAATATTGCTGTTGGTTTATTTGTTGCTGCTGTTAAGTTATTAATCATATTTTATCTTCAAGAATTTTAAGTCGTTTTAAAAGATCTGAAACAATATATGATATTTTGCCACACCATTTATGCATGTTTTTGGTAACTTCAGCAGATGCACTTGGAATTGTTGGCCAATTTGGTTCTTTTAAGCATTCATAGTCGAATTCTATGCTTTTTTTTATTTATTTTTTTCAAATATATGAGAGGGCTTCCACACTAAATAACAGTGGATTACCTCCTGATGTCTTTTGAAGGAGGGCTACCACCCTGAATAACAGTGGATTACCTCTTGAGTATATATATTAACCTTATTAACACAAATAGAACTGTTTGTTTTTTGTGTTTTTTCTGTATATGATACATTGCTGTTTTTATTTTAATTATTTTATTTAGAGTTTATATATATCGTCTGTTTGCCATATTTTTTTAAAATTGTTTTAATTTGAAAATAAATAAAACATTACCGCTTATATTTTAATTATTTTGTTTGGAATTTAAATTAACATTAGTTTTGCCATATTTTTTTTAGTTATTTTATTTTGGAATTTAAGCAAATGTTCGTTTAAATTTTATTTTGAATTTAAAAAAAATACTCTTTTGCTGTTTTTATTTTAGTTATTTTAATTTAGAATTAAAATAAATTCAATGTTGTTTTTATTTTAATTATTTTATTTTGAATAAAAATAAAACTTTGTCGTTTTTTTATATATATATTTTATTTAGAATATATGTTTGTTTTTCCATTTTTATCCTAATTATTTTATTTAAAATATAAATTAATTTTAGATGTGCCGTTTTTATTTTATTATAGAAAATAAACAAATGGTTTGTTTTGCCGTTTTCGTTTTATTTAGAATTATAATAAAACTTTGTTGTTTTTTTTTAAATTATTTTATTCAGAATTTAAATAAGCTGTTTGTTTTGCTGTTTTTACCTACAATATCATTCATTTGTTTGTTTTACCAAGAATATCATTCATTTCAAAATAATTGTGATGTTAATTAAATTTTAACTTTCTGTATTTAAAATGTTTTTGTATTAATTATTACAAAAGGTTGACTAGCAACTTCTGCCGATCAAATTTGATCGGCCAGATTTAATTTTAGGCGATTAAAATGTCAATTTTTCCAAAAGTAGACAATCTATGATCGTTGATTGGCCACTATTTCGAGCGCTGCAATATAATTAATAACGAATTTTAGTTAATTGTTTAAAATACAATTTTCTATATCCTGTCGTCAGGGGCACAAAGAGCCTTCACTCTGCTTGGAACAAGCAACCTCGATTATAGCCCATATTTTTCAAAATACTTCTATATCATCATTAATGGACCTTTTTTTTAGGTACCTCCTTTTTCTTTGGTGCCTCTTAGACATCTGCCACTCGGGATAAACTGTCCCCTACACCGCCCCTACCATCATCACGCCTAAGATTGCGTACCACTTTTAAACAATATTAATAACTATTATTTTTTTAACTGTAATGCCAAAAAAAAATCAAATTTTATCACTACCAAAAATTTGTGGAATTGTCACTGTAAACATTATTTAGTAAAAACATTTGTATTCCTGTTCTTTCGAATGAACAGAATAAAATTGCACTTATGAAAAAAATTGAATACAAAAAATTAAATAAAAAACAGCTTCCATTCCCACATCCAATCTATTGACCATTTCCCTCCTCTCACAATCTTTACAAATTTGCACACCCCATAGACGAGACATATTTTCAGAGTATTAAAATCTTTTTGAAGTAATCTTTTATATTCTCCTATATATTTTTTAATTACTAAATATACTATTTTTTAGGAATATTGTATTTTCAAATTATATTAATAATTTATTATTAACAACGCATTTTTAAACGTTTTTAACATGCTTGCATAAACAGAAAACAAATATATTTTGTTTTATAGAAATTGATTTCATTTTATTTGCTATTTAAACCTCTCCCTGTTTATAATTAAGTAGGTAAGAGTATGTTAATAAATAAGGTTTGTTAAAAACTAAGCATATGATGAGAATAATATTAGCCTTACCTCACATTTTAAGCACGCCATTCAAATTCTAATGGCATAGAAAATTCATTGGATTGCAAAATAAATTAGTTTATGTATGGTAAAGTTTCCTATACATTATTTATATTATTATCTTGATTGATTCTTGCTAGATCTCAAGTTGTAAATTAGTGTTTTTATTTCAATCTTGCAGTATTAATGTTAAATAAATACAAAAAATAGATATAAGCTTAGACAATTAAAAATATAGTACACTGGTGTTGTTTACACTATTATATGCTTTCCGTGTTTTCTTACATTTGTTTACATAAAAAACAATGGAAATATGCCATTATTAGTATTAGACCGAACAAATTGAAAAACGGAACAGATGTAATGGAAGTTTTGTGTTTTAGATTTATTCAAATTACCCAAACCAAAAATGAGATTCAGCAGAACTCAGAAATGAGCTACACAAACACTTTCATAACATTTTATGCAACCACTAGTAAAATTGATTATTTAAAAAATTTATGAGACTGTGGCCTGCCCTAATATATATATATATATATATATATATATATATATATATATATATATATATATATATATATATATATATATATATATATATATATATATATATATATATATATATATATATATATATATATACATATATATATATATATATATATATATATATATATATATATATATATATATATATATATATATATATATATATATATATATATATATGTATATATATATATATATATATATAGACACACACACACACACACACATACATAAAAATATATACGGGGTATACAATTAATTTCCCCCCTAGTCTTTAAAATTGACCCCCCTAGTTTCCTTCTATAAATGACTGTAACTCAGTTGTTAGTTAATATTTTTTATTCATTTTTTAACAAAATCTTTAGAACAATATTACTGATCAGTAGTGAGTTATTTCATCATTTTTACCAGAACATCCCAAAATTCTGGGGCAAAAACTTTCAATAAATGAATAGTATTCTTTCTGTGTGATGGAAGCCCATTATTTTTGTGATGAGTTGTTGGCAGCTTTAGGGTCTAGAATTTTTAAAAAAGCTGTTCTGAAGCTTTGCCCATACATGCTCAATGCAATTAAAACCCCTGGCCAATCAGCCCAGACATAGTTGAATTCCCTATTGATGAAACATATTGTTGCTATTTTACGCAGTATTAATATTATTATGGGAAAATTTAGTTTCAGGTTCTTAAAAGAATCTGAAACTAAACTTCTGACACTATATATTTATTTATGTATACATATATTTATATTTCATTTATATATATATATATATATATATATATATATATATATATATATATATATATATATATATATATATATATATATATTTCAAAGGTATAAATATACTTCATGACATTTATTTATGGAAAATAATTTCATTCAAATGTCTACCACAACTGAATTGGTAGTACCCAATTCGATCAACCCAATTTTTCAGTACGTTCTCGATTGTTTCCGGCCGAATTGCAAGAATAGCAGATTCAATTTCATTTTTCAAATCACCGATTGTTTCTGGATGTTTGGTATAACATACGACTTTGACCGCTACCCAAAGAAAATAGTCTAACAGTGTCAGATTGCAGCTTCTTGGCGGCCAATTCACATCACCACTTTTACTTATTATTCGATTTTCAAAGTCAGTGCGCAGAAGATTGATTTTAACGTGGGCTGTATGACACGTAGCACCATCTTGTTGAAAGCAAATATCGTGAAACTCTTCAGCTTCAATTTAGTCAAAAAAATAATCAGATAATATGGCATAATAGCGCTCACCATTGACGGTTGAGTGTTCCTGTCTCATTTTTAAAGAAAAATGTGCCAATGATGCCACCTGATCAAACACTGCACCAAACAGTCACTCTTTGAGAATGCATTGGCTTCTCTTCAATGATGTGCGAGTTTTCGCTTCCCTAATGCGACGGTTTTGTTTATTAACATAACCATCAAGGTGGAAATGAGCTTCGTCTAAGAAGATAATTTTTCAGTAAAATTTGGGGTCTTCTTCCAAATGATTTTGTGCCTAATAGCAAAGCGTAGACGGCTGGGATGGTCAATTGGCTTTAGCTGATGCACTAATTGAACTTTGTATGCCTTCAAAGTGAGATCTTTATGTAAAATTCGGTGCAAAGTTGATTGTGAAAGGTTTAACTATTGAGATCAATGACGAACCGATGTTACACTCACAGCGGCAATATTTTTGGTTGATCTTGCTGGAAATGGACGTTTACCTGTTGTTTTATTCTACAATATTTCTACAACAACATATATATATATATATATTTCTACAACAACATATATATATATATATATATATATATTTCTACAACACACATATATATATATATATATAATATATATATATAATATATATATATATATATATATATATATATATATATATATATATATATATATATATATATATATATATATATATTTATATATATTCATCTATATGTATTTATAAACATAACGTGAATTTCAATCAAAGATAAAATATAATAAAATAGGGTTTGTCAAGATTTAGGCAGTCCGGGCCGCAACCCCAGCTGCGGCTTATTAACTAACTAATTAAACTAACCTTAACTAATTTTATAAGCTCTTTATTGGTTAAAAAAATCCATAAATTTTGTTATTTAAAAAATCAATTTCTTACTTGTAAAAAAACATTTTAATAAAACTCTTTAACAAAAACATTTTCAACAAAAAAAAAAAAACCTAAAAAAATTTACCTTCAGATTTGTTAAAATCTTTAGCCCGTGGAATCTTTGAAACTAAATGCATAATATATATATATATATATATATATATATATATATATATATATATATATATATATATATATATATATATATATATATATATATATATATATATATATATAATTTTTAAATAAGAAAAAAGTTAAATAAGTTAATCTCAATTAATGTAAACTAAATATTATTTAAAGATTTAAGAAAACCTTTTATTTCTGCTCTTTTATCAATTTCATTAGCAATCTCTGCTTTAATGTTTTCTTTATCCATCTCAATGTCAGATATTATTACATCTACAGCATCAGGTATTATTCCTTCAACAGAGTTGGGTAGCATTACTTCAGCAGAGTTGGGTAAAATTACTTCAGCAGAGTTGGGTAACAGTTCAGTAGAGATGGGTAACATTACTTCAGTAGAGTTGGGTAACATTACTTCAGCAGTGTTGTGTAACATTACTTCAACAGGTTGGTCTATAATATGAGACATTGTTTCTAAAAAAAAACAAGTGAAATATTTACTATATTTATTATTTTACTATAACAATAAAGTAACAAAAAAATAGTTGCGACAGCTTACAACATAGATCTTTTACATCAGAGAATATAGATGCTAAGGTTGCAGCATAGTTAATAAACTTTAACTGGTTTGGAAACTCCGTAAAATTCATTGTTTAACTTATTGACTAAAAAAAAGAGCGTAAATCAAGCGTGACCGTACAAACAAACTTATTAACGTAGCATATCGCTTGTAACATAACGTGATTTTAGAATGAAGTTCATTAAACAAACTCTTGAAAATGAAGTAACATTGTTAGTACAGATTCTAAACTATTTTTTAAAGAGAGCATATTTAGAGATAGTAAAATGTTTAATTTATTACGGATCGTAAGCAAGAAACAAACACGTTTATTAGAGTATAAATTAGAAATTCATTTAGTTAGTTTACTCATTAAGATTAATGAGAAAATTAAATAACTGAATACTGTTTTATAAACTCGTTGATAGTCTGGAGATGTACTTCAAGTCAGATCATATTTAAAAGGTGATTTACAATATTTACGAAAGGAAAAGTACTATTTTAGTATTATATTCTACAGATACAAGATGCTTTCTTTTATTTACTATATACTAATAAATACTGTAAAATACTTTTAAAGCTTTTATAACACTACTGGTTTAGAGTCTAGCAACAGTAGACTCAAGGCTTTATCAGCTTTTCACAGTTTTGTATATATTTATTATAGAGTATTTTATATATGTTACAAAGCAAATCAACTCTAGAAAAGTATTTGCTTTTGAAAAGCACTTTAAGCCAGATGATAAAAAAAGTTATAAACAATCACTACAGATAATATATAGAATGTAATAATTGTTAAAACATATCATAATGACTTTGTTGTGTTATATCACAAACTCTTATGTTACTATGTATTACTATAGTGTAGTAGTGCATGTAATATTACTATATAATCTCTCAATGTTAGAAAATAGATAATCAAGAGGTGATCTTGTGTAACTATAATGGTTTATGAGTAGTTCAGATATTGTATGTATGTATATATATATATATATATATATATATATATATATATATATATATATATATATATATATATATATATATATATATATATATATATATATATATATATATATATATATATATATATAGAGAGAGAGAGAGAGAGAGAGAGAGAGAGAGAGATGTGATAATATATAACACGGTTTTAAAGTTTCTGCTAAGTGAGGGTATGCCATATTATATTACATACTTACAAGTAGATTTTGCCAAGACTCAATTGAGGAATATTTTAGTGTTCAAAGGAAAATTGGGCGCTATTCAGATAACCCTGATGCTAAACAGTTTTGCTATAATGTTAATGCAATATGCATTTAACAAAGTGTTTTGCCTAATACTGGAAATACTAAAGATTTATATGACAATAAACAAGCTTGGATAAACATCTCTGAAGATTTAATAATTAAAAAAAAAATGAAAACATTATTTTATATTATTTAAGTTTTTCTTTTAGTCTATATGGTTGTTTCATGTTTTTATGTAATCCTTTCTTTGGTTGTTCTCCTGTTTGTTTGTTTTTTTGCTTTATGCTTATTAACAATGTCTTTAGCGAAGAAATGACTTCAAACTTCGAAAATATAAACCTAGTATCAAAGTAGAATTTTGACGATCTTTTTCAATTTGAAATTTTGACAATCTTTTTCAATTTTTAAATCACATTTTTCAATAATAGCCCTGTAATATTTATCTAAATCTTTATCACAGAGTGTTTTTTTGATAAAAAAAATCTGTCGATACTTTAAGTAAGTTTTGACTGTTCTGTAATGAAAAAAATATTTTTTCTGCTATAATTAAAATTTGTTCAAACTCAATTGTAATGCCAGTAAGTTCACCACGATTAAGACTGTTGACAAGCTTTTAGTCAGTTATATTTTTTGTTACATTTTAACAGCTTTTTAATATATACAATGTTTTTCGTAATTGAGTATTATTAGTTCAAGAATTTTGAATTTTGTTTTAAATTTTATGAATAACATAACCTCCAAGTTTTGCAATCCATACTTTTCCCTATCACATATTGCAGGTGTATTTAATGTCTGATCATTATTAACAATAGATATATTGTTTTTATAATAAGCTGATATACTATCTGCAAGTTTTTTCTTAATAATAATGTAGCAGAATCTTCATATTCATCACTACAATTTAAAATTTTCTTACTGTGAATTACTACATTCCCAAAATGGAACAAATGTTACGAAGAGTTTTAAATTGCTCAATAATTTAATTGCCATAAAAAGAGCCTCATAAAAAACACATTTTTTATTAGTGAAAACAAAATCTCGATGTTAAAGTTTAATTTAATGTTGTTAGCATTCTCAGCAGCTATATCGTTGATAAGTGTTTATTAGATTTGTGCCATTTTTAAAACTTTTAAAAGTACTCATCTTCTAAAATAGATTCAGCATAATTTTCAAGTTAGTGATCTTTTACAAAAGTTTCTAAAAGCACCACAAATATTATTACAGCCATTGTATATTATGTTATGTATATGTTGTGCACGGTCAATGTCATGTGATTGCATTTTTAACTTAATATAGTTTTTGTTACGCAAAGTTCCATGTTTCCAAACCAGTTTAAGTCTATTAACTATGGTTGCAGTAAATGGGGACCAGGATTATCTAAAAGTTATCTTATCAATTACTTTGAAGTCAGAGCTAGATCCACATTTAAGTGAAATAAAAAGAGCAAAATATTCAAAAGCAAAATAAGCAAAATAATGTAAAATTAAAAAAATTGTTCGAGAACACTGATTAGGTATTTTTATTTGTACAAAATGTCTACAATACATCTTACCAGAGTGTCTTATAAAATAGAATTAAATGCATATTTATCTGGACAAACACAAAGGTTTTAAAGGTCAATATATAAAAGCTTTGAAAGACTTTAGCGATGTGTTTAAAACATTGAACCCATGCTATAATATATTAAAAGATTTATACGAAGTTTCCAAGATCTTTGTTCAAATGTTACTCTTAAAGTTCATATCCACTGTTATTTGCTTACATATCACCTGAAAATAAGTAAAAACACTATGTAAAGAATAAAAGCTACAATTGTATATAAAAGGAATGTGAAAATGCAAAATCTTTGTATAAAGTCCTTTTTACTGTCAAATTTTGGATATTTAAGTTTTGAGTTTGAAGAGAAAATTCTGTGACATTTTCATAGGTTTTGATGATCTTGGATACTCTAGATACTTCTTTGACCAGACATTCAACATTTTGAGAATGACATGGGATATCAGGAACTTGAAGAGTGCTATTTGTAACATTGATTAAAAAGTCTTCATTGTTCACTTCAGATAAAATCAGAGGAGAGATATCAACATTTGACGATCATTTCTAATTATGAGGAAGAAATTTCTAATTATGAAAATTGACAGAAATTTTTTTTTAGAGAGAAAACACATACCCCATCAGCAACCCTCAGAATTGGATCGGCATTCGGTAATGCCAAACTAGAAGTGTTTGAGGTCGGCCAAAAATAGCCGATCTCGTTTCTATGTTTTACAGTTACCCCTATGTATCAATTTTTTTTTGCTGACATAATTCCAAACTTTAACATTTTTCCTAATTCTGAGGGTTGCATCAGTATTATCTTATCTTCTACATGCAATGACTTTCTTTGCCGCTTTTTTCTTGTCTTCATCTTTTATGGCTGATAACAAAACACTTTCAGCATGAGCAAAATAAAAGTTTCTTTGCAATACTTTTTGGGAAATTGCTATTGTATCAGGAAGATTAAGACTACGAATACATTTCATATTCATGAAAAAATTCCGTGCTCCTTCAACACATTTCCAATTTTTCTTGATTAAAAATCAAGATTGGTTTTTAATCAAGAAATTGTTTGGTCAAAATTGGACAAAAAAATTGTTGATGTAATCAATAATATTAATTAGTTTTATCGTGGGTTTTATGGTCGACATGTATAACTGAAGCAGGCGATTGGCAAATGTGAGCCACCTGGCATGATAGAGATTTCCAGAAGGGGAAATTGTGAAATACTTCTTTGTTTCTACATCCAAATTTTGGAATCCTCAGATTCCAAAATTCGGCATTCTGCTTTTGTGGGCAATTGATTTTCTGGAAATTTACAGGGTTGGCCAAATACTGAGTGATCTGTGTCACTTCTGATTTTAATAAAGTTTTTCTTCGAGTTCATTATGCAAACTAAAAAGAATAAGAATAAAAAATCATTCGTAATCCACATTTACAAAAAATAAATTAAAGTCATGCTCTCTTGAGAACGTAAATATCAAGTGCCAACAATTCAATACACAAACATTCAAACAATTTTAAAATGTGTTAAACTTTAACATTAACAATCGAAACATATTTAAAGTAAGCATATTTCAATATTAATATTGCAACATGCATTCAGAATACTCGCAATATTGTGAGTGTTGCATTATCATAATTGTATATTGAAAAACAACAATCTGATAGTTATTGATTCTACTACGTTCATTACATAAAATCTTATATATATATATATATATATATATATATATATATATATATATATATATATATATATATATATATATATATATATATATATATATATAAATATATATATATATATATATATATATATATATGTATATATATATGTATATGTATATATATGTATATGTATATATATATATATATATATATATATATATATATATATATATATATATATATATATATATATATATATATATATATATATATACACACACACACAAATTAAAACAAACCATGATAATTCTTTAACTACAATAGCCATTAAAATAACCCTTAAAAGTAATCATAAAAAATGCGTGAATTTTAACACGCTTATTTAAGTCATTTAAGTCTTTAAGTTTTTAAGTTTCTTTAAGTCTTTAAGTTTCAAGTCAAGCCTCACTCTACTCCATGGTTTTCTCCTTCTTGTGCGGCTGCTATATCCAATCATAACCATTTTTTTCATCTTTTTCAAAAGAACAACTCTCTTGAGAACAAACGGCTATTTATTATTGCAAGAAATCGATGTAAAAAGGTGCTTTCTGATGCTAAACTCCATTATTCTCAGTTCACTAAATCTCGCATCTTATCGCAGAAGTTAGGCTCTAAAGACTTTTGGAAAATCTTCAACAGCATTGTTAACAAGGGTAGATCTAACATTCCATCTCTCATTCATGGGACTGATCTTGTTACTTCTCCCAAGGATAAGGCAGAACTGTTTGCAAAGAACTTTTCTTCTAATTCCACTCTTGAATCTTATGGACATTCTCTTCCTTCCATTCCAGTCAAACAGGTTGACCCATTGTTAGACATTCAAATCACTCCGGCTTCTGTTGCTAAAGTCATATCTCAATTAAACTCATCTACAGCTTGTGGTCCAGACAACATTCCTGTCTCAGTCTTGCAGAATTGTTCTCCAGAACTTTCTTCAATTCTCTCTAAACTATTTAACAAGTGTTTGACTGAGTCTTGTTTTCCTGCTTGTTGGAAAATGGCATCTGTGGTTCCAATATTCAAAAACTCTGGAGAAAATTCTGACCCCTCCAATTATCGTCAGATCAGTCTTCTTTCTGTTATTAGCAAGGTCTTTGAGTCTTTGATCAACAAATTCCTCACATCTCATCTTGAGTCAAATAAACTGCTGTCAGACAATCAATACGGTTTTCGATCCTCTCGCTCTGCGGCCGACTTGCTAACTGCTGTAACTGAAAGATTTTATCGTGCATTAGATGGAGGCGGTGAGGCTAGGGCTATTGCTCTCGACATATCTAAAGCTTTCGACAAAGTTTGGCATGCTGGTCTTCTCCATAAGCTTGCTTCATATGGTGTTTCTGGGAAAGTTTTTGAGATTATCAAATCATTTCTTTCTGACCGGTTTATTAAAGTCATCCTTGAAGGCCAACACTCTACTTTATTTCCATTAACTTCTGGGGTTCCCCAAGGTTCCATCCTGGGCCCTGTTTTGTTTCTTATCTACATAAACGATCTTCCTGACAACCTTTCATCTAAAGTAGCTCTTTTTGCTGATGACTCAACTTTATACTCCTGTCTTGACAAAAAGTCTTCTCTTTTCGATCGCTTAGAACAAGCAGCTGATCTTGAATCTGATCTCACTTCAGTAATAGATTGGGGTTCACAGTGGCTTGTGAATTTCAACTCTAAAAAAAACCCAGTTGCTTACTGCAAACAACTACCGTAATATGGTCAACATTCCTATATTAATGAATGGCAATCCTCTTACTGAGTCCTCCTCTATACGTCTTTTTGGATTATCGCTTACTACTGACCTTTCATGGAAACCATATATACAATTGATTGCTAAATTAGCTTCTGCTAAGGTTGCTTCTCTTTATCGTGCTCGCCATTTCCTTACTTCTGATTCCATTCTCTACCTCTACAAATCTCTTATTCGTCCCTGTATGGAATACTGTTGTCATATTTGGGCTGGTTCTTCTAACGATTTACTTTCTCTTCTTGACAAGGTCCAAAAACGCATTGTAAATGTTGTTGGACCTGGACTATCTGCTAAGCTTGGACCTCTTTCCCATCGTCGTAAAGTTGCATCTCTTTCTCTTTTCTACAGATACTATCATGGTCACTGCTCAAAGGAGTTATCATCTTTAGTTCCATCAACTGAAATTCATTCTCGTTTTACTCGTCATTCAGCTAAGTCTCATTCGTTTACTGTATCTGTCCCTGCATGCTCTAAAAACTTTTATTCATCTAGTTTTTTTCCCCGCATTTCAATCCTTTGAAACTCTCTCCCATCTTCATGTTTTCCTGACTCATACAACCTTCAACTTTTCAAGTCTTCTGTCAACTGTTTCCTTGCTCTATAACTCTGTTCTTTTTTTTTTCCTAGTAACTCCCAACTTAATAGTGGTTGCTTCTAACATGTATAATTATAATTCACCAAACTTGAACAATAGAACAGTGAGTAATAAAGTAATAATGAAATTAGAAACAGAGGCAATGTCAAATATGGGTATAGTTAATTAAATAAAATTTAAAATATTCTATTTGAATAATTAGTGAATTTGAACTACGTAGAAAAACGTTATTTAAAAAGTTGAAACAAAAGTTGCTCTCCTAAGATGTTAAAGGAAGCTCGAACTTTCATTGTTTTATTATTTTTTATATTATAGCAATTTTTTGTAGTAATGACAAAAAATTAAAAAAATATGACCCACCCTAATGCACAAATAGCTACAGCAAATTTTTAATTGGTTGATTTTTAGGTTACTGTGCATACTTTTTGGACCTTTAGTAATTATTATTTTAACTTTGTTTTTTATTTTTAAAACTTGAAATAACTGGTGTTCAAATAATATATTAAAGTATGTAATTGTTAAGTTATCATTTTTGCAGTAAATTTATTGTTTTGTTTATTCAAAAAATATCAAAACTTAATTAATCTGATAAATGAATTGAAAAGTTTCATATTAACCTTTAGCCTCAAGAAGTTTGAGACTTTTTTCATGTGATACTTCAACATTTTCTTGCAAAATCTAAAAACAAATTGTATTAGTAGAGTATACACATTATACATAAGAAAACATGTTAAAAATGTGCAAATATACTATATATGTGTATACATTGTATGTGTATATATATATACAATTTAAATTGATAAATTAATTTTGAAAATGATTTATTTCATCTATTTCAATGTTAATAAATCCTTTTCACAATTTGAAAAGAGAAAATTATACTTGTGTTTAAGTTGTTGTTGTTGTTTTATTGTTTTTGTTTATTAAGTCCCAAAGTAGCATAAGCATTTCTTTAGAAATTATCTTGATCCAATAGTTTTGTTTGCTATGCATTGCCAGGTTTGATAAGTTACTTTAAATAAAACTTCTAGACAATGTCAATGATTGGTTACCAAAAATTTAGTTTATCATTGTATTAAGTCACATGATTTGTTTAAACATTTTTAATTAGTTGAAACATTGTTGAAATCAAAACACGTGAACAAAATAAAGAAAATAAATTAAAATTTAGTTCTATTTAAAAAAAAAAAAAATCTAGTTTTTATTATACTTATTATATATTATACTATTTATTTATTCATACTATTTCCATTGATTATTATTTTTTTTTTTTTTAGTAAATTTGTTCTTTAAAAAAATTATTTAAATTTTTACAAATAAATTTATTTTTTTAATAAATATGTTCATAAAAAATTTTCTTGATATGCATAAGAAAATATGTAAATATATATATTTTTTAATATTTGTACTTAATTAGTATTTTACATAAACCTTATGTAGTTCAATTTATAAGTTTAAGTTCAAATATTTAATAGCATAATAAAGTTTCAATAAATAAATTTATTTTTATAAAGTATACTTCGAAATACAATTAAAAAATCATAACTTAAAGTTATTTTTAACCAACAAAATTTTAACTTATTTTACATTTATTTACAAAATAATGTTTCTAATAGCGTTTTTGTCTACTTTGTTTTTTATAAAAAAACATTATCAGTTATTTAAGTAAATAAACTTAAAGACAAGACACATTTTTTAGCGGTGGAAGCAAATTGATTTTTAAATAAAATTTGTTGAAATATACTTTTTATTACACTTTGATTATATTAAACTTATTTTAGTTCTTTTAAATGTTTATTTTTGCAATTTATTATTTAATTTATTGCTGAATAAGACATTTTTTTTTACAGTTTACATATTATTTCCAGCTTCTTCATTGCAAAATTTAAAAAAAAAAAAAAAAATTAAAATATTTTTATTTGACATAAATTTGATTTTCCAAAAAAGCTATTAGCAAATGACATACAAGAACATTGAACAGACATAGTTTGTTAGATATGTTCTTGTGTGTGTTTTTTTTACTAGAAAAACCTACTTTGTTACTTTCCCCTGACTGTGCGAAGATTTGGAATAAATCGTCAAGTAGATCACTACTCTAAAAAATAAAACAAAAAGAATGAGAAAATTATGGCTGATATATGTCACCTAAAGTAAAACTCAATGTATACTGCTTATGGTAAAAAACAGCTCTTAATGACTCTTTGAATTTAAAATTAAATATAAATTATGCAAAAACCATTAAAACAATTGTAGCAACTAATTTAATTTTACTTTTAATTAAACAATTGTAGCAACTAATTAAATTTTAATGTTAAAACTTAATTGAATGCTGTTTGTTTTTTTAACTCTTAATTGACTTAAATACTTTTTATTGAAACTTGGGGCTTGTTATTTTTTTACTTTTTATTTTTTTTTTGTTTATTCACTGTTTTATTGACTGATTTATTTATATGTATAGAAACATCATTACGATCAACATGATGATGATGATGATGATGATGATGATCATTATCATCAAGATTTAGCCTTCCCTTTTTACTGTTTCTCTATAAATAATCTCAAGCATCTTTTTTCCTTAACTAAAGCTTGTTCATACCATGAACAAGCTTTGTAATGCATTCTTTACAAGTTTTCTTACTTCTACCATTACCAAGCTATTACCTCTCTACATGCAAATGCCCAAATCACTTAAATCTTTTCTGAAAAACATTGTTCAATAAATTATTATAAATACAATAAATAATTTTTTCAAATCTCTTTCTAGAATTATGGCTCTTTATCTTGACTTGTAAAAGTACATACCACACATCCATCTGATCATCATTTTTTTTGGCAAATACCATAAAAATACTAACATTTATATAAAAATATAAAAATACTGTATGCCAACATCTAAATAAATAGCAAACATAATTGTGTATGCATAAATGCTCTTCTTACCTAACATCCTGGATCTGAGCAGGTATGTAAGCTTTTATTCCTTTTCGTCAGTTTTAAGTCAAGCATTATTCTACTTCAGGTTTTTCACCTTCTTGTGCTATATTAAACCATAATCTTTTATTTTTTCATATTTTTTTACAAAAACATCTCTTGTGAGAACTAATGTCTTTTTAATATTGTGTCAATGTAAAAAGGTCCTCTCAGATGTAAGAGTCAATGTAAAAAGGTCCTCTCAGATGTAAGGTTCTAGAGACTACTTTAACAGAGAAAATCTTCAACAGTTTCATTAACTAAAGTAAGTCTAACATTCTAATTCATGAGTCAGACCTTATTATTTCTCTTCAAAATAAGGCGAGAGTATAGACAAGAGTAATTCATATTATAAAATGTTGATTAAGGCAATAGAAGAGAAAATACACCATTTTTATTGAGAAAATCAGATGAGAGAACCAGATGAATGAGAATCTTAACAAAACAGTTTTTACTATCCCAATTTTAAATATGTAAGACAAATACCAAAAGTAGCATCTACATTTTCTTTTTTACAGTTTTGAGGTTCAAAAAACATGCTAGACATACTGAGAGAATCTAAATATTATTTATAAAACAGGTATATTTTTGTGAAAAATCTTATGTATGAAATAATAAAAACATAAAAGAATTAGGAAGATCATATCATACAAACATCACATCATACAAACGAAATTTCTTCTATTTCTCCTACTAGAAAGAATTCTTTGCAAAGAACTTTTCCTCTAACAGATTAACCTATTGTTAGGCATACAAATCGCTTTGGATTCTAATGCTTAAGTCAATTCTAAATTAAACCCTTCTATGACATGTGGTTCACACAACATTTTCTTCATATTTTTACAAAAGTGTCTCTAGAACTCTTTTCAATTCTTGCTAAACTTATAATAAGTGCTAAATAAGTGGTTCCAATTTTTAAAAACTCTAGAAAGCACACTGATCTTTCCAACTATCTTACAATTAGTCTTTACTCTATTATTAGTTTTTTTTATATAAAGGTTTTGATATTATTAAATCATTTCCTTCTAACCACAGTTATTTACTGCAAACAGCCATCACAATAACTTACTTCAGTTAAAAAGAAATAACTTGATAATCTCAAAAATTTTGATTTTTTGATACACCAACAATTAAACGTAATCGTAGTACCAAAGTAATCGTATATGTAAATTTTTAAATCACCTTTTAGGTGTTTTTCCTTTTTTTTTGCTTTGACAGGAAAGTATAAAAACTTGAAATAGTAAAAATAAAATAATCTATATTTTACCTTTTTATTTGCTTTTAAATTCAATTGCTTACAAAGTTTCTGCAGCTGCCTGTATGAAAACAACTCTAATTCTTCTTTCGTATACATATTTTCATAACTTGAAATAATAAATATATTATCTTATTGAAAAAAATTATAAAATAAAAGAAATTATTACAATTTTATAAAGAAAATAAAAAAAATATATATGTGGGTATGATAAGATAAAAAAGCATATGGGAAAATAAATTGATTTTGAACTCATAACATAGATTTAAAGTTTTCAAGTTAGTAAAGAGAACAATAATACAGATTGTCAGGATATGAAAACTCTTCATATTCATTTTTTATTACTTATATTGTAATGTTACATCTTAATCAAGTAGATTTTAATCTTGTTTTAATTTTAAAGTTGTGCTATTTTACAAGCTTTTTACAACAAAAATTTTTTGAGTTAATTTTAATTAAAATTATACATTTAATATTAACAATGATTCTAATTTAGCTTTTGTATTCCATCTAGTGTTGAAATTAAACAGGTTAAACATCATATTCACCCAAATCCTATTTTAATTATAGAACCTTATCTATTTATTTTAATCATAGAATCTCAATGTATTATGGAGTTTATGGTTTTTATTTCAAATTTACTAGTTGATAATTTTGTAACATCAAAACTTTTTTTACTCCAACTTTATAATAAAGAACTACTTCTTTAATTTAACATCTAAACAACTTATAATTCAATTTTTGTAATTTTTATTAAATTTTTTTTTGACTTATTTTTATACAAAGACTTTTATATATGATCAATATATTTCATAAGATTTTCAAAAGATAAAAACAATAATATCGACCTGTTGCAGAACAGCTTGCATGGTAAACATCAATGATTGTAAGAAGGCTAATGACAAGAAAAAATCAGTCTACTCTAAATTAACTTCTTTTATTTCACAGGTATAACGTGAATAACTCATTTAGGGGTTCATAAGAGATGTAGTTGTATAAAAATTTTTTTTTGATGAAAAATGTGGAAAGAAATGAAATAATGGAGAAAAGATATAGTGTGTTGATAAATCTATTATTTATGTTATCTTGGAGATACAATTCGTGTAGCAATTAGATAGAAGAAGAAATTTTGTAAGAAAAAAAAAGGTGTGTCTGGACCAAATTCAGAATACAAACAGCAAACAGCATAAACCTCTGCAAACAGCATAAACCATTAAAGATTAAAGCAAAGGAAAGATTTACCTTGATCATATACAAATGACATATAAAAAACTTATAATTAAACCTAACATCTTATAAACTTTGCCACCTAACATCTTTGGAACTTTTCATTTGCCACCTAACATCTTTTAAAAACAATTATTTATAACTAAATATTATGCTATTTAATATTAAAAAAAATGAAAATATAAAGCCATCTTTTCACTTTCTAAAATTTAAAACAGTGTGTTCAATGTTTTTTATATCAATGAAACTTAAGTAATGATGTTAAAAATTCATCTTGTGATAATGTTAATTATGAAATTTTTTTTTTTATTTAAAACTTTTTGTTTAAATGATTTTTAAATATTTTAGCGGTTGTTAGCATAACAACAATTCTTAATTATTTGCTATTTTGAATTTCTTAATTTTCTCAGTTATTTTCTGTTATAATTCTGATCTATATTTTATATATTTGTATTATATATATTTGAATGTTACGGTTATGTAGAGTTTTTTATGTAGAGTTTTTTTTTAAATGTGGGGCTCGGCGATAAGGCAAACTGTGCCTTCTTCTTGCTCCTGCCATTAATTTTGATATATGTATATGCAATGTAAACCCAGGTCAGGTCAGGATAATCGAGATCAATCTTACTACTGGTATCACGTAACCCAGTACCACCTGCCACAAGCTCTGCTGCCTTGCAGAGTATGCTCTTCTTATGCAAAGGCTAGGAGAAATAAACTCCGACTAAAAATTCCCCTGCCTTGGGGCTCTTGGTTGAGTAAAGGCTAGAGATGGTGTCTTGATAAAAACACTCATCTTGGGCAGATGTTAACTGCATCCAGCTAAACATCCCCTGCCTTGGGGCTCTTGGTTGAGTAAAGGCTAGAGATGGTGTCTCGATAAAAATACTCATCTTGGGCAGATGTTAACTGCATCCTGCTACTGTCTTGTAGAAGGCCTCCTAGGCAAAGACTTTAGGGGTAAGCAGAAAATTCTGCTAACCAGCCTGGAACCCCTTCTTCATCTATTAGGCTAGCGTAGATGTAACCTGTGTTACATTGTTTCCTGCCTAGGATGATGAATGCTGGATCTCCTTGACTCTACTCATAGAATTTTGCTTATGCCTCCTTGATAATGGCTATGCAACTCTTCCTGTTATCTCCATATGAGGGTACAGCTCTAAAACTCAGTTTAATGGTTCTGAGGCCGGCTGGTAGTAAGGTTTCCCGAACTCTGTGGTAGCTCTCAGAGAGGCTGATTCCATCAACAGCTGCAAAATATCAGAGTATTAACAGTGCCATGTTGCGCATGGATGGTGTCCCTGTTAATGCTTTTGGTGTGCATTGTCAAGGCCACATAAGGAGCCCTATGTCACGGCTTAGGGTTAATTAACAGGACTGAGACAACTGCATAGCTCATTCATTAGGAGGCTGTGCTCTATCTATGAATGAGTCAAGTTTAAACCCAAATCATGACCAAAGTAACCAAAAATTTAAAACCTAAAAAACCATCCCCACCACCTACATATTTTAATATATCTTTTACAAATATTCGCAGTCTACGAAGCAACTTTCCATCAGTTGAGTCTTACCTCCTGCAAAACTCACCAGACTTGATTGCACTCAATGAAACAAATTTAAATTCTGCAATTCCTTCTTCAGATGTCAGTGTTGATGGGTACTATCCTTTGATTCGTAAAGACTCAAATATTCACATGCTAGGTTTAGAGGTATACATAGGCATTAATTCCCCTATTTGTCGTAAAATCAGGTTCGAATCCTTTGACCATTCTTTTATGTGCTTTCGCCTAGCACCTCTTCATTCTATCACCTTTCTCTTTGTTCTTTATCGTTCTCCTTCTTCCCATGATTGCACTCTCTTAGATGTTATCTCTGATCAAATTGACCATGCCCTCTCTCTTTACCCCTCTGCCAATATTGTTGTTGTTGGTGATTTTAATGCCCATCACACTGAATGCCTTGGCTCTAACACCACTGATCCTGCTGGCACTAAAGCCTTTAACTTCTGCGTTTCTCAATCTCTTACTCAGATAGTTAACTTTGTGACTCGTTTTCCTGACAACCCTAATCATTTACCTTCACTCCTTGACTTATGTCTTGTCTCTGACACTAGCTTATGTTCAGTTTCTCCCTTTTCTCCCTTAGGTGGTTCTGACCATGCAATGATCTCTATAAATCTTTCTTCTCGTACTTCTTTTTTGGGCTCACCTTATCATCGCACCACCTACTACTACCCTAAAGCTGACTGGGATTCCTTTCGTGATTTTCTTTGTGATGGTCCTTGGGCTGATGTTTTTTCTCTCTCAGCTGACAAATGCGCTTCCTACGTAACCTCCTGGATTCAGGCTGGAATGGAAGCTTTTATTCCTTCGCGTCGGTTTCAAGTCAAGCCTCATTCTACTCCATGGTTTTCTCCTTCTTGTGCTATGTCCAATCGTAATCATTTTTTTCATCTTTTTCAAAAGAACAACTCTCTTGAGAATAAACGGCTATTTATTATTGCAAGAAATCGATGTAAAAAGGTGCTTTCTGATGCTTAACTCCATTATTCTCAGTTCACTAAATCTCGCATCTTATCGCAGAAGTTAGGCTCTAAAGACTTTTGGAAAATCTTCAACAGCATTGTTAACAAGGGTAGATCTAACATTCCATCTCTCATTCATGGGACTGATCTTTTTACCTCTCCCAGGGATAAGGCAGAACTGTTTGCAAAGAACTTTTCTTTTAATTCTACTCTCGAATCTTATGGACATTCTCTTCCTTCCATTCCAGTCAAACAGGTTGACCCATTGTTAGACATTCAAATCACTCTGGCTTCTGTTGCTAAAGTCATATCTCAATTAAACTCATCTACAGCTTGTGGTCCAGACAACATTCCTGTCACAGTCTTGCAGAATTGTTCTCCAGAACTTTCTTCAATTCTCTCTAAACTATTTAACAAGTGTTTGACTGAGTCTTGTTTTCCTGCTTGTTGGAAAATGGCATCTGTGGTTCCAATATTCAAAAACTCTAAAGAGAAAATTCTGACCCCTCCAATTATTGTCCGATCAGTCTTCTTTCTGTTATTAGCAAGGTCTTTGAGTCTTTGATCAACAAATTCCTCACATCTCATCTTGAGTCAAATAAACTACTGTCAGACAATCAATACGGTTTTCGATCCTCTCGCTCTACGACCGACTTGCTAACTGCTGTAACTGAAAGATTTTATCGTGCATTAGATGGAGGCGGTGAGGCTAGGGCGGTTGCTCTCGACATATCTAAAGCTTTCGACAAAATTTGGCATGCTGGTCTTCTCCATAAGCTTGCTTCATATGGTGTTTCTGGGAAAGTTTTTGAGATTATCAAATCATTTCTTTCTGACCGGTTTATTAAAGTCATCCTTGAAGGCCAACACTCTACTTTATTTCCATTAACTTCTGGGGTTCCCCAAGGTTCCATCCTGGGCCCTGTTTTGTTTCTTATCTACATAAACGATCTTCCTGACAACCTTTCATCTAAAGTAGCTCTTTTTGCTGATGACTCAACTTTATACTCCTGTCTTGACAAAAAGTCTTCTCTTTTCGATCGCTTAGAACAAGCAGCTGATCTTGAATCCGATCTCACTTCAGTAATAGATTGGGGTTCACAGTGACTTGTGAATTTCAACTCTAAAAAAACCCAATTGCTTACTGCAAACAACTACCGTTATATGGTCAACATTCCTATATTAATGAATGGCAATCCTCTTACTGAGTCCTCCTCTTTACGTCTTTTTGGATTATCGCTTACTACTGACCTTTTATGGAAACCATATATACAATCGATTGCTAAATTAGCTTCTGCTAAAGTTGCTTCTCTTTATCGTGCTCGCCATTTCCTTACTTCTGAATTCATTCTCCACCTCTACAAATCTCTTATTCGTCCCTGTATGGAATACTGTTGTCATATTTGGGCTGGTTCTTCTAACGATTCACTTTCTCTTCTTGACAAGGTCCAAAAATGCATTGTAAATGTTGTTGGACCTGGACTATCTGCTAAGCTTGGACCTCTTTCCCATCGTCGTAAAGTTGCATCTCTTTCTCTTTTCTACAGATACTATCATGGTCACTGCTCAAAGGAGTTATCATCTCTAGTTCCATCAACTAAAATTCATTCTCGTTTTACTCGCCATTCAGCTAAGTCTCATTCGTTTACTGTATCTGTCCCTGCATGCTCTAAAAACTTTTATTCATCTAGTTTTTTTCCCCGCACTTCAATCCTTTGGAACTCTCTCATTCATCTTCATGTTTTCCTGACTCATACAGTCTTCTGTCAACTGTTTCCTTGCTCTATAACTCTGTTCTTTTTTTTCCTAGTAACTCCCAACTTGATAGTGGTTGCTTGCAGCCTTGTTGGGAGTGAATGCAAATAAAAATAAAAAAAAAAACATTCTTTAACAGCGAAATAAATTACACCAAAAAAAAAAAAAAAAAGGTTTTGTCTAACACCAAAGCCCGCTATTCTCAGGTCATGAAATCTGTAATTCTACCTCTCTTGTATGGTTCAGATTTTGTCACCTCACCTAAAGACAAAGGTGAATTGTTTTCTAAGAACTTTTCATCAATATCATCTCTTGATTCCACTAGTTGCTTTCTACCTGATATAGCCGTCAAACAGGTTGATCTATTGCTTGACATTCGTATCACTCCGCTTCTGTATCTAAAGTGATTACCTGCTTAGACTCTTCTTCAGTTTGTGGCCCAGACAACATTTCTGTTATAGTCTTGCAGAAGTGTTCCTTTAAGCTGTCGTCTCCTTTCAAAACTTTTCAACAAGTGCTTATCAGAGTCTTGCTTTCCAGCCTGCTGGAAAGCAGTGTTTCCCTATTTTCAAAAATTCTGGAGAGCGATCTGATTCGTCCAACTACCATCCCATTAGTCTTCTTCCAATCATATGCAATGTTTTTGAATCTTTAATTAACAAACACTTAATCTCTCATATTGAATCTAATAACTTACTTTCTGATCATAACTATGAATTTCGATCTTCTCGTTCTACGGCTGATTTGCTAACAATAATAACCGATAGGTTTTATCATGCATTAGATAAAGGTGGAGAGGTTATGGTCATCGCTTTTGACATTTCTAAAGCTTTTGATAAAGTTTGGCATACTGGTCTCCTCCATAAGCTTTCTTCTTATGGTGTATCTAGAAACATCTTTAAGATTATTGAATCCTTCCTTTCTGAGCACTCTTCTTCTTATTCTGTAACCTCAGGGGTTCCTCAAGGATGAATCATTGGCCCTTTTATTTTTTTTAATTTACATTAATAATCTTCCAGATATTTTCACATCTAAGGTGGCATTGTTCGCTGATGATACTACCATTTATTCTAATCATGTCCTTGATGGACAGCATTCTTCTTCTTATTCTGTAACCTCAGGGGTTCCTCAAGGATGAATCATTGGCGTTATTGCAATAATTTAGACCTTCCTATATTTATGAACGGTAATGTACTAGATGAATCTACCCTTCATCTAGTACATTACCATAAAGATCGGAAGTAAGAGTTAACCCTTCTAGGATTAACTCTTACTTCCGATCTTTCTTGGAAACCATATATCAAACCTGTTGCAAAATTAGCATCTGCTAAAGTTGCATTTCTTTATCGTGCTCGACACTTTCTAACTCCGGATTCTATTCTCTATCTCTATAAATCTCAAATCGGGCAATGTATGGAATACTGTTGCCATATCTGGGGTGGATCTTCTAATGATGCCCTTTCTCTTTTAGACAAGGTGGAAAAACGCATTGTAAACATAGTTGGACCTGCTCTTGCAGCCAACCTCCAACTATTATCACATCGTCGTAATGTTGCTTCTCTTCCTTTTTTCCACAAATACTATAATGGGCACTATAAAGTGTATAAATACTTTAAAGTCATTCATACAGAATAAGTTTATAAATTTAACAATCTTAAAAAAACAATATATACATTTTTATGTGATAAGTTTATACATAATAAATAGTAAGAAATAATTTTAAATTTTTTTGAACTAAATAAAAGTGTTTTTTTTAAAAAAATTAAAAAATTACTTATTCACTGTAAGATTTTGTTTTCCAGATGCTTCTTTTATACTCTCCAAAACTTTTTTTTTCTTTGTGCTATATTTTTACATTCATGATTCTTCACAAACATTTATTATTTATAATTCTCTTCCATGTAAATAAAAATAAGACAACTATGCATTGTCTATTTAAATATTTAGCGATAGATCACATCAATAAATATATAAACAGACAAAACCATTAAACAATTTATTTCGATATAATTATGATCACAAAAATAATATATCTTTTCTATATTACACATAAAACTATTTTAATAAAACAGTTTAATTTTATTTTAGGCAAATTTATTTTCTACTTTAAAAGTGATTAACAAAAAAATATATTTATAAAATAAATTTTATATACTTCAGCATTTTCAGCCCTAAATGTTTCTTTAATGTTTCTGCATCTCTGTAAAGCATTTTAATGTCAATTAGAACGCTTTATAGAGATGCAGTTTATACTTGTTTGGCTTACTAATAACATAACTATAAGAAATTAAAAAATGAATGTATAGAATTAAGTCTACAAAAAAAGTCAGTAAATTCATATCTTTAAACATCATAGTTTGGGGGTTATTCTAGGAAAATAATTTGGGCGGCAGACCCCAGCCAGCAGCTGCCATAAGGAAATTTGGCGGAAGCATTGCTGTATATACAGAGCCGGCTCATTAGCATTTCTTAATGTGTGCAAAAAACATTTGATTCCCTAATTCTTAATTACCCTTTAAAAAATGCCAGAGAACAATTGGCTTAAATGAAGTTTTTATCCACATTATGATGATTGGGCAAAAGTTCCCCTAACAGCAATTTAAATTTTACACTTTTATATTAAAAATATCAACTATTTAAAATGGTGTATTTAAGTAAGGTGAGTAGAGTGCAATATTCATACACAATATTCATAGTGCAATATTCAACATGGAAGCGAAATTATAAAAACACCACTTCAAATCTCAATAAAGAAACAGTCACTCTAATTAATAAACAAATTGTTATTTCAAATTTAAAAAAATAAATAAATAAACTTATATTAACTTAAATTCATGCACTATTGATTACTTTTTTATACATAAAAAGAATAAAAATTGAATTGATTGAATTTTTAAATCTGAAAGAAAAGTTTTGAATATTCGGAACTTTATAGAAACCTAAACTAAACAATATTTAAACAACTTAGTTAACTTGCTCTTAATAAAATAATTGAGCGACTATTTAGTTTTTCTTGACTCATGTTTGATTGTAATAGTTTTTGATCAACTTTAGTTTGGAAAAAGATCTTTTGCCTTGACAGACAGTTACTGGAACCATTAGCAAGATTCCAAATGTGGCACAAGTATTGGGGAATATTTCTTCAAGATCATGATCTTAAATCACACATATGTGATTATAAATGTTAGAATATTTTATGGATTTTTTTAATCAGTTTTTTGTGACAACTAACTAACAGTTATCAATTCTTCACCAGAAATATCCTTTTCATTTTAGTCTGTTAAAACTTTTTTCAACAAATTACAATTTTTTTTTTCTTTGTTACTTCTTTCTTAGTTTAATAATTGGTACATTCAAAAATTAAATTCAAAGTTGTTGTCAAAACTTGTACTGTGGAAACGAATTTATTAAATTTAGTCTAATCGTAACTGTATTCTAAAAATGCTACAACAGATTTTAATGCTTCTATGGAAATTTTGACATTTGATAAACTTGAATTTTGTTTGTGTAGTTTATTTAGTTAAATATATTATGTGAAATAGCAATTCCACAAATGAATTTCTAAATATCCATTTTAGCAGCAATAGATTCAGTAATAGATACTTTGGTGATTCCATTACTATCACTATTGGCAACTTTGTGCAGCGTTTTATAAATTTGTTTTCAGATTAATTGAATGTGCCATACAAGAGACAAAAGGTGCTCGCTTATTTCTATTTAAAATTTTCTTTTGTAAGCCCTTTTTTTTGTCTCTCATATTTTCACCAGACTCTGAGTTCTCATATCTTAAAGTGGAAATTTATTTTTATTCAATGAAACCACAAATTTAGCTCTGATCCATGATTTGTAAAATTAAATTTTGTTTTTACACGCTTTTAAATTTATAAAATATTACATCAGAAAAGTCAGAAATTTCAAAAATTTATGAATGATAAAAGTTAGCTCTTTCTGACTGATGACTGGCATCTGGTATGCAATCCGCAATAATGGAATAATATTTGGCTTTCCGCATTTTTTTTTTCCTCCCCAGTAGCACTAGCCAATGACTGAATAATTTCTTCTTGGATATCTTTGCTTAATGCGTTTTGTTTGGATTTTCCCATGCATTAGAAAAAAGATATTCCATAATTGGGTCAACTTCTGCCATAAGTTTAACTACTTTCAGAAAATTCCATTGTTTTACACACAGTTTATCAGATGATCCTCTAAATGCTATGCTTTGTGATGCTACCATAATTATCCTTTTTATAACATCATCCTATCAATCAATACCATTCTGAAGTTCCTTTTATGTTAAAGAATCAACAGTTTTTGAACTTTAAAGTTTTTTTTTCAACTCGATCCAATTGCCACTAATTTCAATATGATTAACACTCACTTCATGGCTTATTAAGCTTTGTGATAAATGCTTCCAGTCAACAGATTCTGTTCTCACAAGGGAAATATCTGTATTATTATATAGTTTACAACAGAAAGAGAAATTATTATTTACTTTTTCTGAGTAAGCCTTGATCTAAGATGACTTTCACAGTTTGAAATTTTTTTACAAAAACTTGAGCTGAACAAACGATTATCACAACTTCTTAGGTAGCTGTTTGACTGACAATTTATGAACCCTTCATAATTATTTCTTTAATATTATAGTTTGTAAGAGTCTGAGGCCAATCAAAAATTTCTTCACATGTATAGAAAAAGTGCTCTCTTTTTGTTAAAGTCACAAAAATAGTGTTTTGAAGTTAGTTTACTGTCAATGGCTTTTCAGTTTGAATCTATTCTCTGTTATTTCATTTGAATTAGATTCATATGGCAAAAATTTTACTCAGATTCATTGTTCAGATGTTTCTGAACTTTAAAAAGTCTTTCCTTTAGATTGGTTTTATCACACTTTTTTTTTTGTTTTTTTAGCTCTATCAGATGATACTGAAAACCTGACACCTTTTTTTATTTATAAATTTTCTAGAAATTTAATGATATTAAAAACTATTTAAAGCTTCTCTGCTCTAAATAATATTTTTTAATTGAACTCATCATAGACAGTTTATAACACTTTCTTAATTATTGTTTAACACACTAATAATAATATTAAAACATGTCATAACAACTGATTATGATAATATAATAACTATAATAATAAAATTATTATGATAACATTGAAAACCAGCCAAATCAAATTAGCAAAATCTATGGTATTAAAAGCAAGATAATATGCTGATTAAGAAATAGAGAATTTTAAACCAAATGAAATTAAAATGTGTATTTATTTAAAAAAAAATGTCAATTCATATTTCAATACATTTATATATATATATATATATATATATATATATATATATATATATATATATATATATATATATATATATATATATATATATATATATATATATATATATATATACATATATATATATATATTTATATATATATATATATATATATATATATATATATATATATATATATATATATATATATATATGTATATATATATATATATATATATATATATATATATATATATATATATATATATATATATATATATATATATATATATATATATAGTACAATATTTCGACTACATTAAATATATAATTACATGAAACTGTTTTTCTTTTTTGTGATTGAAACAAAATAAGAACATAATTAAAATTAATTATACGCTCTATATATGTTGACCCTATTTAAGATATTAACATTGACATCAATATTTACAAAATTACAAACAAAAAAACAACATATTTGGATATACTTTTACTAATTGATAATAATTTTTGGCGGAATACCGCATTCAAAATTCGCAAACAAGTTTTGTCAAAGTGGATGTTTTTATTTAATATTTGGATATTGTATTTGTATATAATTGTATATAAAAACGTTTTCAAATAAATATTATCAATAGAAAAACTGCGATATATTAAAACTAGAATTTAAAATATTCCCAGCGTGGTATTTAGCGAGCGATTCAACGAGATTGTTGCAAATTTTGGCTGGAACTCTTGGCAAGCAGAAGTTAAATAGTGTGGTTCAAAATGAGGTTTTGAGTTTTCAAAAAACGCAGATCAGATATTATACTGTTTTTGTGAGAAAATTAAGAGTGTTGCTACATTGACTGACTTATACCTGCCCTAACTCAAAACCTCATTCGATGTAGCAGCATCTCCTAAGCATTGTCTAAACCAGTCGATGAAACGACACTCCCTAATACATTTTATCAATATAATGTGTGATTTGCGTTTTTTGAAAGCTAAAAAAATCGTATTTTAAGCCATATTGTCTTCTGCTTACCGGAACTTTTCTAACTAACGGTCTTGTTCTTACTTTAGGCTATTATGGATCTTATTCGCTTTAACTAATTCTTTTCCGTTCCAGGCCCAGCAAGATTTTATTAGATTCAATTCTATTGATAGAGTTGTCAAGGGCAAAAAATCTGCATTGTTTTCTTTTGCTTTGACTGTACGAGCTGTGTGAGCAAGTGCCATACCTGCTACCATTCGTTTCAAAGATGATTGTTTGAAACATTTACAGATGGAAACGTTCTTTAGAATCTATATAGTTGTGTTGGTTGATTTGGCCAATACCAACACACCAACCACCACCTTGTAACCTCGGTACATTAAAAAAGGTTACTATACTTTTCAAATTTAAATCTTTTAGCAAAGCTTCACTTTTTTTTTATTTATTATAATAAATAAAAAAAATAAAATTTTGTTTGTTCAAGTAAGTAAAAAAAAGTAATTTTGAAAGTAACTTTGAAGTAATTACTTCAAAGTAATTAAAATTAAGTAAAAGAAAGTAAAAATTACTTTTTTTTACTTAACAAAATATAAGACTGTTTTCGCGTTTTTATTAAACTTCTAGATACTGACGTTGGATGCCACCTGTCGTTTTAAATATTTTTTTGCGTATTTCTGACGCAATTCTATGAAACTTTGAATCAGAGTTGTTAAC